CATATGAGCAAATGTTCACATGGTCTCTTGTCAAAAGGGAAATGCAAATTAAAACCACAATAAAATACCATTTAACCCCTTATAATCAAAAAAATAAACAGCAACAAATATTGGTGAGGCTATGGTGAAAGGGGAACTAACACTGTTGGTGGGAATGTAAATTAGTCCAGGCTCTGTGTAAAACAGTATGGAGGTTTCTCAAAAACCTACCAATGAACTTCCATATGATCAAGTAATCCTGCTTTTTGGTATTTACCCCAAGATAGGAAAATACTCAATTGGAAAGACATTTGCACCATGTTTATTTCAGCATTATTTACAATTGCTAAAACAAGGATCCAATTTAAGTGTCCCAAAACTGATGACTTTGTTGAAAAATTGTGGCACATATAATATACTATGGAATATTACACAACTACAAGAAACAGTGAGATCCTGTTGTTTGACTCAAACTGGATGAATATTGAAGACATAATGTTGAGTGAAGTGTGCCAGACTTTGAAAGATACACATCATATATCCCCCATTCCATTTGTACTGAGTGCTAAGGCAGAGGGTGAGAGACTTGAAAATGTGATGGTGGAGAGGATGGGTGTAAGGGGAGAGAGTGGATGGTAGAGAGAGAGTGTGTGGAGGAAGATGGGTGTAAGGTACATACGACTTTTTCCATTTGTCTTTTTTGATGTTGGCTTTTCCTTTATATTTTCATATGCAGTGTTGTTTAGGGACATCATAGTTATTCCTTCTTGGTACATTGTCAGAATAAATTGTTCTTTTTTGTATCTGTACTAAAATTGCTCTCCTAGCTTTTTTACAAAATAGTATGGTATACTTTTTCATTTTCTTTATTCTATATATATTTTGCATCATTTCGTTCTGTTGTTCTAGAAATATCATTGAAAATCATAAAATAATCAGTTTGTAAACCTATTCAGCATTTTTTATTCTAATAAATAAATTGAAAAAAAAAGAAAGAATTGACCATTAAAAAAAAAGAGATGTGGGGACCAGCAGTTGGCATAATAGCTGTGTTGCTGGACTCCCATGTAGTTGACTGTGGTTCAAGTCTGGACCTGGTGGCTTAAACTCACGCTGGGCGCATGTGTGCATGCCCAAGATCCCAAGAGGAGAATGGAGGAGAAGGGATTGTGACATGGCCATTTCCCTGGGGGGGGGGAGGGAGGGTGATTTCTCACTTTCTGTCCCTCTTGTCTCTCTCTGTCTTTCTGGAGAGTGCACGTGCCTATAGCAAAAACCAAAAAAAAAAAAAAAAAAAAAAGAAAGAAAAAGAAAAGAAAAGAAAAAAGAGATGTGAAACAACTCCTGTTTATATCTCTGGTCTTGAGGAAATGAAGGCTTATATTGTAGCTGCTGTTTCTGTCATCCATGTTGGTAGGCTCCAGAGGGTTTGGAGTAGACCATGGGATTGTACCATAGGATGCAAAGAGCACTGAACACTTGCAGGATTGTGGGAATAATCGAGATATAATTATATGCTTATATGTAACAAAGTTATTGAGTAGTAAACTTTTGAAGGTATTCACCTCTTTTTAAGTCACTCTGTATTGTTTTAGAACTGTTTCTGAGTTTATTGCATGCATAGCAATAAAAAAAGTGAACTCTTTTTTTTAGAGAGGTGTTTGCCATAGGGCATGTGCACTCACCATAGAGACAGAGAGAGACAGACAGACAACAAGAAATCAGGCCCCCAGAGGGGAATGACCATGCCACAATCCCTTCTCCTCTCAGAAGACATACACACACACACACACACACACACACACACCATGAGCTTTAAGCCACCAAGTATGGGACTCGAACCACAGTCAACTATGTGGGAGTCCAATGATGTAACCGTTACATCATCTGCTGGTTCCCCTCTACCCCAAAACAGGTGAACTTCGAAGAACAGGAACATTCCCTTTTGTTTTACCCTTGATGCCTACTGCAATGCCAGGAACAGAGCTAACCTTCAATCAAGACTTGCTGAAAGAATATATGGCTAAATGGACAGTTTTACTGAAATAGAGGATAAACTTCTATCTTACATATTCATTTTGAAAAATAAAAATAGTCAGAATAATATTTTAAGACAAAAAATAGATGATTTCTAATTCTTAGTATCATCTAGTTTTTTCTTCCACCCAGATCTTGATTTTAAGTGATCCCAAACACTTTGTTAGAGCCAAGCAAATATTTATCTTTACTCCCTCTGTCACTGCTAGGCTCTATCCTTCCTTAGTCTCCAGATCAGTCTTCCACCTCCTGTATGGTCTAGGCTCTCTACCCTCCTCCATTAAGAAACTATACCAATTCCAGCTTGGGCGGGATGACACATCACACAATTATTTTTTTCACTCATAACCTGAGGAGTCAAGTTGGCAAGTCTGTTTTTGTGTGTATGTTTGTTTGTTTTGTGTGTGTGTGTATTAGTTTAAAAAAACAAAAGTTGATCAGTCGATGTATTTGTATTCTAGTTACATATATGTGTATGTAGAAACACACAGTACATGTGATACTCATCTTGTATTGTAGAATTTACTACCTGAAGGGAAGGACTATTTCCCACCATAAATTCAGTAAATGGGATAGACTGCCAACTTAAATTTGGACACATCCGAGGCTGTGAGAAATAATGTGGGAAAGCAGGATTCCACAGAGTGACCTCCTAAGGAGTGAATGGTATTTTCTTGACTCTAATTCTGATGAGGTCATATTTTCTCTATTTAATATCTTTTCCTGTGGGTCCTATATTCTGTACCTTTGTCAAATTACTCTTGACTTTTCAACTTTATTCCTCTGCTTTTAACTTAAACCTAATATATGAAACCCTTTAGTAAAGCACATGGCATATTGTGGCAGAGGTACTACTAGTTCCTTGCAAAGTGCAATAGGAAAAGAATAGGTCAGGTGGCAATATAAATACGGAAAAGAGCTTTTCTGAATACGTCTTTATTTATTTATATTTTTAGGGAGAGATTTTTGCTATAGGGCACATGTGCTTGCTGGAGAGACAGAGAGACAGAAAGCAAGAAATTACCCCCAGGTGATGGTTATGCCATACTCCCTTCTCCTCTCAGGATTTTGGGCATGCATGCACATGTGCCTGGTGTGAGTTCAAGCCATGGGGTCCGGGACATGAACTGAGGTCGACCATGTGGGAGTCCAGCAACATAACCATTACAGCATCTGCTGGTCCCCACTTATTTAACAAGCACTGGGTACATTTTAAGTGCCATGCACTGATCTAGGTGCTAGGGGTTCATCTGTGAAGAAGAAAATAATCCCTGCTAACATTCTATTTGGTAGAGATGATAAATGATAAACTATTAGATGATAAGTGCTATAGAGAAAGGACAGACAGGAGTGGAGCAGAGAAGAGGGTAGTTCCAAGTTCCTGTCGGTACTCAGAGCCCTACTGAAAAGGTGACATTTGAGCAAAGACATGAGGTGAGGGAAAGTGTCCTTGTTATCTGTAGGAGAGCGGTCCAGGCAGAGGGAATTAATTAGAAAGGCCCTGATATGGGCCAAATATTGGCCTATTTGTGGAGGAACAAAGGAGGAGGTTCATGTGATTGAAGTAGGGTGACCAAAAGTAATAACAGCAGGTGAGGGGGTTGGAGAACTCCCATGGCACCTGGTGGCACTGGACCTCGTGAGGTCCAGTGTGAGGACTTTAGCTTTCATTCTGACCCAGCTAGGGAGCTTTTGAAGGGTTTTGAGTGGGGTAATGAAAGGATATGGTTTTTATTTAAAAGGTGTCCCTTGCTGCTGTGGCAAAAGGCTATTCTAGAAAGCCTGTCAGGAAACTGTGTCTTGGATCAATGTGACAGCAGTGGAATTTATGGAAAGGGATCAGTTAGTGGATATGTTTTGAAGAGAGAGTCAATAGATTTCCTGACCTATTGCATGTGGGGAGAGAGATTGATTGCATGAAGGAGGACACCAAGGTTTTCATTCTGAGGAACTAAAGAATGGAGTTACCGTTACCAGAGTTGGAACACTGGGGACACAACACACATAGGGAAAGCCGGTTCATGCAGAGGGCAAAGGTCAGGAGTTTTACTGTACGGTAAGTTCTTTCATACTGCACACGTAAATCAAAACACCAACGCATTGTGTCCCCCTTCTCCATTCCCTTTCTAACCCTGCATGTTTGGTCATATTTTTATTAGACTCTTACCGCTGAGTTAAAATGTTCTGAAGGTAAACAGTTCAGTGACGTTATCCCATTTTACTGAAGCTATAGTTTGCCTATATGGCAGCCACCTATGTGACAGGTTTCTTCTGGGAGTAGTAATTTGAGGAAACTGTAGTTACTCTGCCACTAATTCAAGTACGAGTGCATAGAAACTAATAAAATATGGGACCAGCAGTTAGCGTAATGACTATGTCGCTGGACTCCCACGTAGGCGAATGCAGTTCTCATCCTGGACCTGGTGGCTTAAAACTCACGCCGAGCATGTGTGCGTGTGTGCCCAAGATCTCAAGAGGAGAACGGAGGAGAAGGGATTGCGGCGTGGCCATCCCCTTGGGGGGTGATTTCTCGCCTTCTGTCTCTCTGTCTCTCTCTGTGTGGCAAGTGCATGTGCCCTATAGCATAAAAACCTCTCCAAAAATAAATAAATAAATAAAAAGAAGAAACTAATAAAATATTACATTTTTAATTTAAAATAAAATATCCAGATCTTAGGTTCCCATTACTAATGCCCTAAACAAATTACCTTAAGTCTAAATAACCTCTTTTTCAAATATAAACATTGTGAACATCATTTCAACTGGGTAAAATACTGCCGTTAGTTAAATATTTTATAGGAAATTTTAAAAAGTTGTTTGGGGTGAATCTTTAAACCTCAGATTTCCTTCAATAATGAAAAACTGAAAGGATCTTAACTGATAGAAAATTGGATTCTTGAGTAGGAGAGAAATTCTTTAACCCTGAACAAAGTCATTTTCATCCTAATGCGTTTTTTTCTCTTTTCTTGTGTGTCATATTAAAGAGAGTGGAGAAAGTCTCCGAAGTTGCAGTTTCAGATGCATCTTCTGCCAGAAATCCAGATTTACCCGGAAAGTTTTGGGGCCAAATCATAGATTTGGAAACAGCTGAGAAAATAGAGGATCGTGATGAAATCTATGCAGAAGGTGAGAGGTTTTTTTTTGCTGTAATATTAACAATTCTTAAAGCATAAGCTATAACCATCTTAAAGTACAGGACTGAAGTTTTCCTTATTCTTGCCCTTAATTTTTGTTTCTTTCTATTGCCCAGAGCTAATTTAGTCTGGAATTAATTCCAATATTACAAGTAAGGGCATATTTAAGGCCCTTTGTTTCCTGAAATAGAAGCACATCCAGAGGCACTTTGATGTAACAGCTAGCTAGTGAGCGTTAGTAAGGTATTAGTCCCATGTTACCGATGGTAGGTAGCGTGTTAATTTGATCTGGCTTTATGAAGTTCATTTGATCACTAGCTTGTGAGTCAATTTTGTTCCTTATGAAGAGATTCTAAAGTCAATGTAGTCTACCTCCCAAAGCATTTACTTTTCTGGAATTCAGCACTTTAGTTACTGATGCTCTGAGGATCTCTGCCATTTAGGAATTGAGGGATCAGGAGGAAACGGCAAAGACAACTGGGAAGGTGAGACCACAGAGGTAGGAAGAAGGTCAGAGTATGATGTCTTCCATGCCAGCTTCTGTTTGGATTATTTATGTCTTGAGTTATTCAGTTTACCTCTTCTTTTATTTAACACATATATACTTCTTATTTTGTTCCAGTTACTATTTTAGACACCGGAAGTACAGGTTATGAACAAGAGATGCAAAGCCCTTGATTTTATGGATAACACGTTCTGGTGTGGGAATAAAGAAAATTAAAAACAAATGATCAGGTAGTGGTACATCATTACAGTTTTGACCTGAATGACAAGGAGTTAACTGAGCAGTCATGGAGGAGCATCCCACGTAGAGGCAGGATGATATCAAGAGCTCAAGCAGGGACAAGCTTGGTGCTCAAGGAACTGAAGAAAAACCTTTGTGGCTGGAGCTGCCCAGTAGAGATGAACTTGCAAACATGTCACATTAGGGCCTTAGAGACCAAGGAAAGAATTTAGATTTTATTTGAGTATAATAAGATGGCATGAAGGGTTTTAAGGAGAGGTGTAATGGGGCAATTTTTAAAATATATGAAGAATGGGTTATTGGGGAGAAAAGGGAAGAGCAACCAGTGGGAGGCTATTGCAGTGGCCTGGATTGAGCAGAGATGGTGATTGGTCCTAGGTGGTTGGTAGTAAAAGCGATGGAGAAAGGAGGTTGATCCTGAAGTTGGCAGTGCTGAATCTTGCCCACCCCATCTCCTGCTGGGCCAAGCTTTCTCAACTATGATCCTCTTCTTATCCTAAAATACATATTAATATCTTGAGAAACCAGTGATTCACTCTTAGGCAGCACAAGTGTATGGCTAGAACTGGTTTTTAAAGGTTTATATTATTTTTTCTCCTGTCTTCAATGATATCAGTATTTACAAGAACTAGTGTTCTGAGGAACATATTTTGAGAAACTCCACCTTCCAGTAGCTTATATCCCTCTCCACTGATCCAACATGAGTTGTTTCATATGTTCCAACTTAAGCAACTGCAAGGATGGAGATACCATTTACAGAGAAGAGAGCAGCAGGTCTGGGTGGAAGATTAAGAGTTCACACTTAGACATGTTATAAGACATCCAGATAGGGATGCCAAGCAGATATTGGCTATAATATTCTAGATTGTAGGGGCACAGTCCACGGTGAAAATATGCAGTCAGCATACAAATGCTATTTAAAGCTACAAACATAGATGAGATTACCAGAGAGGAAAGAATGAACCATCCGGGGTCGGCAAGGTGGCGTGGTGGTTAAAGCAGCTGGACTCCCACGTGGCTGATCGTGGTTTGAGTCCTGGACCTGACAGCTTACTTTCTCACTTTCTTACTGTCTCTTCTTTCTCTGGTCAACTTCAATAAATAAATAAATAAATAAATAAATAAATAAATAAAATA